CTCTGTTATTATAATTTATAGCATAATATTATGTATTCAATAACTGTATTCATGAACATTAGAGAAAGGACTCCAAACTGTGTACATAAAAGTGGTCTGTAATTTTTGTATCCTCCAGAGTGCTCTTCGGACAGTGGTGATGTCGTTTTTACATGAACAGCATAGGGAATTTATTGGTTTTTTATTATTTTATTATTTTTTTAATTTTTTTAATTTATTTATTTTTTTTATTTTTTCTAAATGGTGAAACTTATGAATAATTACCAGGGAACATTTTTTTATGACCAAATTATACTCGATCAAATATATGTGTTTAAAACTATATTAAACAACTTCTAGTCAGTTCTGGACAAAGAGATATAATTATTTTTAAGCTGCCTGCTCGTGACTTTTTAACTAGGAGCAACATTTAAGCAATTTGTAAGCCTCCGCCTCCGCCCTGCTATTTGACTTAGTCGTAAATAATTATTAGTGTGAGGGTGCCGAGTGTGGTGAGACACGAGTGCAGATTGCAAATTAATAATCTAATATAAAATATGTAAACATATTGCTTGAACGCCACAAGAAGAGAATAGCAGTATAAACTTCCATAATTAATGATATATTAATATATTATGCAAAGTATTTTATGAGAAGTTGTGTAACTAAAATTATGATACATTTTTTTAACACAGTTATAAATTATAATTATATTACTGTTTAATGATTTATGTAGGTATGAAATAATCAAATACGGCTTATTATTTAGCTTTCCTGTTTATTTTTTTTATAAATTATTAAATAAATATATTTTTTAGTTGATAATTAATTTAGCCAACTTCCAATGAAGTTTAGTTTTTTCCTTTTTAGCATTATCCAAGGAATTATTAAAAGAGCAAATGAAATGTATCTGTACGTAACCAAAAAAAAAATGTATTTTACTTGATGTTAATCCATACTTATATTGCATATCACTATATACCCACCAATCATGGTGTCCCAACTTCTCAAAATGTATCAATTACTTAAAATATTATAGTATCTGAAGACAATTCTTCTGTAGCCATCACTTTCAAAGTTACAGATTCAAATGATTTCATGAGATAAAATAAATTTGTGGAAGGTTAAGTAATACCAAGGCTGTGCAAGGTAATGATTTTTTTAACTCAGTTAAGTTAAGTTAATATGCACCATAACAAAAAGTTCAAAGTTAATTTGATTATAGATTAACTCAATTAAGTTAAAAGTTAATACAAATATTTTTTAACAATGCTGGCATACTTAATTTTTTTCCAAACCAAAACTATAGTGTTTATACTTTATACAGTATTTCCACATAGCACCTATATTGTATTTTTAAGAACAGTAGTTATCTATATAATAAATAGTAAGTAATAAACTAATAAATAATACCTAAAAATAATAAATTAGTATTATTTAGTTGTCTTGCAATGAAATATTATATGTGTGTGTGTGTGTGTGTGTGTGTGTGTGTGTGTGTGTGTGTGTGTGCGTTTGTAATATAGTATTACTGTATATTTATTCTGTAATAAAACAATCACGAAATATTTAATTACACAGATACGTACTAGGTATTTAATAATTATATATTTGCATCCAACAAATAAAAGCTACCTAACTTCCAGTAGCGGCTTGTGTATTATAACTCAAGGAGCAAGTTTATAAACAATCCCCTCACCAACTACATTTACTAGGGCCAATGTAATATTTTTAGGTTTTTCTTTAGTTAAATTTTTCATTAACTTTTACAATTTATGATATAGATACACTTATTTTTTACTTGAATGATCAATCTTCTGTTATAAATTATAAATAAACCTGTTAAACTTAAACATTTTGTTTTCCGATTTTCGGGGCAGGAGCAGTCGCTCCTAGAATTCTTATAACAAGCCGCCCCTACTAACTTCAAATTATATTAGAAATGAAAATATAATTTAAACTAAGAGATAATAAATAAATTTAAATAGCTGGATAATATTTTAACATAATATACATTTAGTCATGTATAGATATACTTAAACAATAAGTTTAAACATAAATAGGTAGCATTAATTTTTATGCTAAAAAAAATTTGAATTAAAAAATTATTTTTCCTTTAGAATACAATGATTGAAAAAATATAAAATTTTAACTTGAAACCATTCACGGCAAATATTTTGTAGACATGACAACAAAATCAAAATAGACTCAAATAATGAAATGCAAAAAAATTTAAAACAAAATAAATTAACTTAATTTATTTCTTAAAATGATAAATTAATTCGTTAATTTCACGATAGTTAAAAAATAAATTTTATAAGTTAATAGTTAAATTAATTAAAAAGCAAAAGTAACTAGTTAAGTTAAAAAGTTAGAAAAAAAATAAATTTTTTAACTTCACTTAAACTTTTTAACTCATTAATGCTCAGCCTCTGTGATACCATTGATTTTATAATGTGTATTATTAATATTATATTATTGTTATATTATAAATTATATATATACTTTATAATGTATATTATAAAATCAATGGTAATACTAAACAACTACATAATACATAATTTTGTATACATATTTTTTTGTCTCACAAGCAACAATGCATTATGTAATTATATACCTACATATTTTTTTTTTTTTTTTAGGCTAAAAATTAAGAAATTAGGCTATTTCAATAAAAACAAATCAGTATCAAAGTTTAATATACTGGTCAGAGTTATAAGTTATAAGTTATAACCTTTAATAATAGATATATCAAAGATAGGTGTATGATTTAATACTCTACAGTCTACAACATTGATTTTTAAGACTTACAGATTTTAAATTTAACTAACCTAACACTTATACTTTTGATTTTTAATATTAATATATTTTGTACAGGAATTATTTTAACACTAAAACAGTCATGGAGAATATATTAAATTGATTAACTTAATTTTAATAAACACCTAAAATAAAATGTAATACATTATTAATGACATTAATTTTAGTCAAAATGTTAAAAAACCATGCCTTAAGATTTAAACCATTGTTTGATATTATAATTTTTTTATTAATTCATAATTTTATTCTAAATTACCTAATACCAATGACCTTTGCAAACAAGTAAAAAACCATTCATCAGATAACGCCATATTTTTTTAATAAATGACTTAAATGGTTAAAATGTTCAGAGGCATTTCTTTATCATTGAGAAATATTTTTTTCTGCAATGGTTTTTTCTACTTAAATACTGTGGCAAATCTGGGAAAATGGTTGGAAATCGAATTTTTTTTAAATATAATTCTATTTTTTGCTATTTGATTGATTGAACCATCAGGCAACTTGGCTTTAAAATATCTATCAAGATAGGTTTCTTCAAAATGTATTTTACATACACTGACAATGCCAGGACACAATTCTCTATCAGCTCATAGTATAGATTTGGCCCATTTAGCCCAATATTAAATAGGTACCGACGTACCGTATGAATAGGATTATAGGAATGTCCTCATATGAAACAACTCTACTAAGATGTACACTACTAAATAATAATTGCAAATTAACGTATGTTACCTAACTATCATAAGACAATATTATTATTGGCAAAATTTAGTTGGTTGATCAAATTTATGAGTTTTCATACTCAGGTATTGTATTTGTAAAAAAAGTATGATTATTTCTAGAAAAAAAAAATTTAAAAAAATAAGCATGTCTTATTATTAAATGTAGATAGGTATTTTGTCTAATTAACACTTTTAAAGTTCAATACTATTGTATTTATATAAAAATTTATAGGCACCTAGTAATTTTACAAGCACATTAAAATGATTGTGTATTATAATGAGTTTATAAATAAACCAATATAATACAATTAGATTTAAAATATAAAAACAATATTTTGGTACTTAGACTAGCTCATAAACTGTTAGTATATGTTTGTATACCTACTTTGAATCTGCCCTAAAAATTATATTAATTTTAATCATATTATGAATTTGTTAAAGGAACACTTCCAGAAATCACAATGCCCAATGAGAAATTAATTGATCGTGAAGACTCTGTATCTCAGAGACTTCATAGAAAACCAGTTAGTATTGATTTATTAAACCACTTACTATTTACTTTTGTGATATAACGTTTAAATTTCAATTGGTTTTTTGTTATTACAGAGAGTAAAATTAGTACTTGATCCAACTGATGTTATACCAGATAAGAAAAAAAAATATTCACAAACATATGAAGAAAAAATTATTAAAAAAAAATCTGAGACTGTACAAAGAGTAAATCCGGTATCTAAGATAACTGAACTAATGGACTGTTGGTCAACTGAAAATGTTACTATATCTTCAATGTATTTTCCGGGAACATCAGGAATGTGTTATCTATGTTCAACAGATATAGAAATGGCAGAACTGGTTGATTGTCCAATATGTTATATCAAAGGTATAGTAATAATTGTAATTGATAAATTCCTTTTTTTTTTTTTTTTTTTTATTTGTTTTATAATTTTTTACAGTTCACAAACAATGTTTAGTAATCAATGAGCCCTTGTGGACTTACAAACTAGATTCAAGTCCTTGGCTCTGTACTAAATGCAGAAAACGAAATTGTGCCAAATGTCTCGAAGATGAATCCCAGTCGGTGAGCTCAGTTAAAAATAATAAAATGTATTCATGACTAAATAATTAATTATTAAATGTCATTAGGATATAGCCTTTCGCTGCTTAAGTTGTGAAGTTGGTTTACATACCGATTGTTATGAATCATATGCTACTGAACAAATGCATAAAATAGATGACAATTTGTATGTATGTGTTCCTTGCGCGAATTTGGCTACTCAAATACACCCAATTGAAAAAAGTGATGACGATGATGATGATGATGATGATCGTGAAGGTAAAACTGTACAGTTCAAATATATTATACATAATATTACTTACTATAAATATAAATTGTATTAAATATTTATTTAGATGATGTTGAGCCAAAGCCAGGCACCTCGGGAACTGTGCATGCGCGATTGAGCGGGGATGACAGTGGCTCAAAAATTGATAGTTCGTGTGAAATGCTTCATGATGAATTAAGATATCCAAGTAATAATATTCCAAACATAACAAAATGGACTAAAGCTCAAGTGTTGGAATATTTATCAGAGCGATTACCTCGAGAAATAACTGATCAAATAGCTAAACATGTAATATATTATTAATTTATTTATAAAAAATAATAGTTGCATACAGTTGTACTGTGTCTAGTTTATAATTTATAATAAAAAATTGTTTCAGTTCAGAATCGAAAATAGGTAACATTGTACTAAGAAATATTCTATAATTTTAGGATCTCGATGGCAGAGCTATACTATTGCTGAACCGATCTGATATCGTATCAACTCTAATGTGTTTGAAACTAGGAAGTTCCTTGAAATTCTACAGAGAAGTGCGGATTTTACAATCACAATCGACACACCACAGAGTATATTGGGAATAATTATCATTACTTCTACTTAATGTCATTAAATTATATAAAATTGTGTTCATGTTTTTTTTTTAATGAGTTTTAAACCTGTAATTTAAAAAATGTTTGAAATATTAATGCAATTAGATATTATACAAAATACTCCACTTTTTTCAATAGGGAAATGATCAACTTGTTTACCTAATTTTATAAAAAAATACATGGTTATCAATATTGTAATTTTGGCTTGATTGCATATAAAGGCTTCCAATTAAATGCATATCCTGTGTGATATAATTATTACAGTTGCAAGTAATAAAATCCCTTGAAATATCTGAAATGCATGTATATCATGTCTTGTAACAAAAAAATTTATGAAATAGTTCACAATAATATTTTATAGTTATAAAATGTGTATTTATTTAATATTTATATATCTACATAAACATTTTTTAAATTAACTATCAGTTCAGATCATGTTAGTTCTATATTTAATCAAAAGTATACCAATATTATTGATCAACCAAGTTTTATAAAACCCACAAAAATGTATTTTTCCAGGATCGATTAAAATGTGAACACACATCTATATTGTTTTGTTAAAAATTATTAAAATGTTTTTGTTTGAATTTTCATCTAAAAAAATGAACAGAAAATTGAAAAATTGAAAAAAATTGTAAAAATTGTGTAGTTATTCAATGTATCTACCTACATATAGTTCAATTGGTTTCAATTTTCAATTTTAGTTTAAGGTTCACAATGGGATATCTTATGTTGGTTAAAAAAGATGTATGTAAATCAAAATTCTGACGAGTAGTTTTTAAGTTATATAACTTTGTATACTAATAGTGTCTAAGTATAATATCTATGTTGAATAAGTAGATATGAAACAAAAACAACAAATAACAAATACATATAAGAAATTTAAAAAATATTGTCTATAGATCCAAACTACAAATATTGTCCCAACTTAAGAGTTTAAATTTTTAAGTAAAATGTTTGTGTTAAAATATTGACAATATTGAAGTGATACCTCTAAGAAATTAGCTTCATTTGAATATCAAGTATTCACTATATCATTAAATAGGATTATAATAGGTAGTTTAGGGGGTGAAGCAAAACCGAATGCACATTTTTTATAAATAATTATTTTTTACCTAAGTACATAAATAGTAGGAAGTTGGCATCTACGTTGGAAAATAACATACATAGTTATCTATTAAGTTATTTCTCTGAATGATATTGCAATGGTGTGGAACACCATTATAGTTTTTCTATTTTTATAATTATTATATTACGTATAGTACCTACTATAATATACTATACATTATCATAGACGCGTGAGTCATATCTTTCATTCATTCTGTAATAACACGGATTAAAGCTATGTATATGTATAACTATTTTGTATAGTAAACAAAATGTACAATAATCGTTCGGCCTGCTAGACATTCGTCAGCCGAACTAGTCTCGTCTCACCACTTGCTCCGTGTATTGTTGCTGCCAGGTCATCGGTAAAGTCAAATAATTTATATTACATTTTGTTTTAAATTTTAAATATACGTTAAATTATACTCGATATAACTACTTGTCTTGTCGAACATCCAAATGCTCTCACATTCCCCAGTTTGGTACAGATCTATCACTATACGGATACACAATTACTCACCGTATACCAGTTGTAATGATAGACAATAATTCAATATAAATCAAATCAAATCAAAACATACCCAGGCAGTCCAAAGTGCCGCAGATGACCGATTCCAACACACCCACAGCCAATGATGAACAAGAATTAAAAACTAGTGAAACTATAATGAAATAAAAAACGTAACTGCACATATAAATCAAAAGTTAAAATTTGAAGAAGAAGTACTACAAAAATTCCGGTAAAAAATAGTAAATTCCAATACAAATTTGATGGACCTCGTAAAATCATAAAAAAAATATCACAAAGCACCTATTCAATACAATTCACAAAAAATAGAAAATAAACAGTTGATTTTAAAGTTTTAAACAAATAAGCTGAATAAAAAATTCCATCAAAGAACACCAAATGTCACAGTGAAAAGGCATAGAAATGATACCATCACTACTTAAAAATAACAACAATGATAATCGTAATACGATTTAATGCATTACGATTATATTATGATAATAACGACATTAGTATTAACAGTATAATACAATACGACAGTAAATTAACATACGAGCATAACCAAGTCAACATTTTTCACACTACTCATCTCTTAGACTAGCAATATATAAAAAAAACCAACATTTATACATTTTATAATCACATAATATGAACCGCGAAGCCAAAAACCAATCGCTGAGATCGCGACGCTAAATATACGAACTAAAAATTAATAGATTTGCATGTTGAAAAATGTCAACAATAATAATATGAAACAGAACTAGAGTCTTTCGTTAGTCTCATGATCACCGCCACGAAGGAACAAGAACAATTTAACTATTCGTGACTTAATACATTTGAATTGATACATTTTTTTCTCTTACTTCTCATAATTATAATACATACTATGTAGATTACGATTGCGATCTGTGTATTAGCTGCCTTTGTGGTGCATCAACAATAACACAAGAGTTCAACAATACCAGCTTCAGTAATCAAACCGGTTTTTTTGTTAAGAATACGGGAACAATTAAGTAACAGATAATATTAAATTAATTGTTTATGCCAATATATCACTGCATATGAGGAATGAGGATAAGTTTAAAGAAATAAATGGGTTAATGAGAAACAAAAATAACATATTATTATGTAACACTATAAATATTTCAAACACCTCTAAACTTTAAGAAAATTATGAATTATTAATAAACAGCTCAGTAAATAATTTAAAGAAGGGAAGCGAATAATTAATTTCTCTAAGACAATTCCAACAAAATAATCCACAAAAAAAGAAATAAAGGAAGGCCTATTGACCAAGGTGATAAAATACAAAATTGTTCTATAAACACATTAACGAAAATAAAATAAGCAACGAAAAAACCTTAGTCATTTTAAACAAGCAAACTCGTGTAATTAAATCTACACTAGGATGTGTTGACTCAGTCATAAATGAATTTTCTGAAAACTCACAAAAACTAAATACCCCCTTTTCATACATTAAATTATTGAATGAACTAATAATTAACTGGAGAGACACCATAACCAAAATTGATTATGCGTAAACACTCAGCGAACATAATAATTATGTTAATAATATTATAATATTATTATACATTTAAATGCCCTTATAACAGAATTAACTGTACAAACACAACAATTAATAGGTGCAATATTTTGAGCACAAAAAATCGTAATACGCAAAAAAAGTAAATGGTAAAATGTTTATACAACTTAAAATACTCATAACTCGTTTTAAAATAAAAATATAATAAAAAGCCAACGAGACGCCCTTCAAAAAAATCTTGCTTTTAATTTTAATAAGACCTCAATTCACTCTAATTTTTAAAGTGACAGAGCAAAACGCGATCTTAAATTTTAGTATGTTACGCATTTGTAAGACGGAGACAACACATGCGGGTATAACGTTCTCTTAAAATGGCACTTATATTTAAAAAAAAAATGTCAACACAGAATCATATATTAATACATGTGTTTAATTTTCAATTTTTACTAATATACAATTATACAACCTACATACAATAATAAATAAAATAATATGTTTATTGTATAGTTTATTTTAAAAGTACACGCATAATATTGTAAACCCTAACTCAAATGTATTAAGCGGCTGGAGTATAGCATGTCTTAAGGAGTAGTGCTTAGGCATTTCATGTCACATGCACATTCTTGCTTTTTCAATGCTCGAGAAGTAAATGAACATTATTGTGAGTAATCCGTTCGACAAAATACGAATTCCCCAGAACTACGATAATATAAAATCAAACAATGCCTTATGAGAATTTGTCCGAAAAACGGTTTAATTTTTGTTCTATTAGCCTCGTAGTCGTTTAAAGCAGGGCCCGGATAAAAGTCACACTCGGTGCACTTCCGGACATAATATTACGTGATACATTATGTGTTCACTGCAGGCGTGTAAATACTAAAATAGTATACCTACTCCCTAGTGCCCTACATTATACAGGTACACAAATACACAATGTTAAAAATATTAATTTACATGAAATAAAAATGATAATAATAAGTTTATTAGCATAATGTACCTAATAAATTAGTTTATTATATAATAATAAGTTCATTAGCATATAATAAATTAGTTTATTTAATTTATTAGTTGAGACAACTTACTTTCAAGATAAAATATTCTGTAGTTGGATTTTCACTTTCCTATCTCAACAACTGTAATCTCGTATTAAACATACATAATTAAGCAAGCATAAGACATAACCAATAAGTGGTGGTAAATTACTAATACTTTGGAATGTCGGATTTTAATTTTAATATAAGTATGAATTCTTTGGAAAAATATCTATCCTTTTTAAGAAATTGATTTTCAATTTTCAATTTTAAAAAACCTTAAAATTAAGATATATATTTATTTTAAATCCCATGAAGTAATTGCATTACATTTGTATTTATCTTGGGCACATCTGATTTTAAATACAAATCGATTCCTAAACTCCTAGTAGCATAGTCTAAAAGCTTATTGTCCAAGCCAACGAATAAATATTATTATTATTATATTACCTCGTACCACCACTCCTCCACCGACCGAATCACACACACGCACAGTCACATATTATTATGATCTTCGTTATTTTTGTATAAATTATCTTGTCTTGTGAATTATTATATAATATGTAGATTAGCCGCCGCCGTCTACGCAAATATTATTTAACACGGCCGCCGTGCCTTTTTGTCTTGTACCGAACGTTGCCGCAGCAATATTCACTTGTGCGTGTAAATAATACTACAATAATTGTAAAGTCGAGTCAAATATTAAAAGTGTTGTTTTTTATATTATATTCTTTTTGCCGTGCGCGAATCGCCGGTGTTTTTAATTTATTATTATTGTTTTTTTTGGTGCTAATCGCCAAAGGCATTATTTTTGCTATTATTTATTATTGTAAGCCATAAAGGCCGCAGATATTTATACTATTGTTACCTAACTTATTATATTATTGTCGTGTATTTATTTTATATTTTTATAGCATAGGACCAGCTGGCCAGTCTGCGTCCACAAATTGTGAGTTTTTTCTTGTTATTATTTATTTATTATACATTTAAATCTTGTGAGCCATAAGGGCCACAGATATTATCTAATCATTATACTATCGTGCCAAAAGGGCCGCAT